ATGGTCTCTGAACAAACCCACCCTTAGTCGTTATTCAGAGTAACTTAGAGGCCTGTCTAAGTACATGTGTAGGTGCATAAGTGAGTGTTTGGAAGACAGAGTGAGAAAAGGAAGAGGATCCTCTTCCTCTAAGCAGCTTTGGATGATTGCTTGGAAATCTCCAAACTCTATCAGTAATATTTTCAGAATATAAAACGTATTTTATAGATAATTTCCAAAATGTCCTCTGAAAATGAATGTGTTTTAACATGCTTGGATGAGAACATTTTGTGGGAGGGTTCATACATTATAAATTGTGTTTACTGCATGTGAAGGCTGAAATATTATAATTTTTTCCACCTTGTGTTTGAAATGATATCTACAGCAACAGCACTACAAAAGAAGAAAAGATGTGTGAAAGCTTCTTTGCTGTTTTTTGCTCTCAGTAGGAGCAATAGCATTAGCCGGCATCTCAACCTGACAAAATCCTCTTATCTCCCCCAATAAAAAAACTAGCTATATACCGCAGGGTTATTACAGCAACTGAGTCTCTTTAATTTCATTATATATATTTCGACTTCCCTTGCAATCATATCTCTATATTCTCTATATCTTAGCATTTCAGTAGTTCCTGTATGTCACAGTAAAATATGTATGAGAAAAAAACTCACTGCATTTCCATGAGTGTGTTTTGTACTCACATGTTTTGCACTTATTCACGCATTGTTTGGGGAAAAGCATCTGAGCCATCAGAGCAGCACGATCAGATGTTTTTTCACGATGGATTAAACCAGGTGGTTGGTGGTTTCGCTCCCACTCGTAGTGTTTTCGTCCATCCATCGGTTCATCTGTGGATCATCTAAACTGTCAAACGACCCAGTTTTAGAAGGCTTCACCGCCTTGTAATCTGTGCAAATGATATAGTCTATTCACAAACCGATTAGATATGTAATCTGTTGAATCATGATGAGAGAAGCAATCACATTACTGCTCTATGTGTTTCCTCTGAAATTGTTCCCAGAGATCAAAACAGTCTTTAACCTAAAAAATGGCACAGATTCATGCAGTATTTTTAATGGATCCTAACATGGTTTGCTTAAGGTTAAGCAACAATCCATTTTTATTTAATTTCCTTTCTCCCCTTTCAACAGCCCTATGCCCCATTTTTGACAACCCATTACTTCTAAAATGAGTCATCACTTGCTTGGTGCAGTGAACAGTTCCACCCAGGGCTTTGTATTAGCAACAAGGAGAGGGAAGTTTCTTCTAAGCCTGTGAAGATGTCATATATTTTAGGATAATGTAAAACAAAACACCATTATGGATGTGTAGGTTCTGCTTTGTGAAGACACCTGTCATCACTGTTCAGGTAACCGAGCTCATGCAGGACTCTGAACATTAACACATAACGTATAATTGCATTTGTCGTGATTGAATTAAAATGTTTTTCAAAATTAAAGTCAGGTATGTGTAATAACATAATCCCATTACTATTTTACACTTTCTAGATTATCCAGTTATAATAATGGAGGCAGGAGAAAGGCAGGAGCATTACTTATTAAATTACTGATATGGCGGAACAAGAAACCCGGAACATATTCAGACACAGGGACAGAGCTGTTGCTGCTGCTCTCACTGCTGAACAGGCCTGATGCGGGTGTTCGGTGTTTTCCTGTATTTTTTTAATACACATTTAATTTTAGTCTCAGTTGTGATTTCAGAGTGATTTGCACGTCCCCGGCGGAATACATCTTTAAATCTATTATCTAAGTAAAAGTATCAATACCATGATATGCAAATACTCCATTACAAGTAAAACCTAGGAAATATTATCAGTTGTTTTTCAAAAAGGAAAAGCAATCATAATACAGAAGAATTTACCCCTGTGAGTGTTATTCTTTTACGTATACTATAGTACTGGATTACTATTACTAATCCTACTGATCCTCAGTCTGAGATTGCTGCTGCAGGTCTTGAGCAACATTAGGTTTATTATAGATGTATACAATGTTTAAACACTCATGCATTTTACTGCTTAAGTCCTATTTTTGTGTTGTGTTATATGATGGCCTTGTACCATCCCCACAGCATGTGGATTTGCATTCACACCGTGTAAAACAACAGTCCTCAGGCCTCATTCATTTCAAGGGTTTTATATTATCTGTTATGTTCAGTGCAGAGGAAACAACATGCAGTCATACACGTGTAGGCTCACTTAAGGTAGCTGCATTTTATGTTCCCGAGCCAACACTTCCTCATTGTGGTCCCACAGTACCTCACTGTAAATAATGTGTCTCAAAGTGCTTTTTAAAACAAGCAGACTGCACATAAAGGTGAGAAGAACACATACTGTACATGAGGAGTAAACTTTTCACCCCTGGTACTTGAAAATGAATGTGTCAGACACATTACAGTATTTCATTTAGGTGGTATTTGGACCGGATTCATGCCAGCCAGTCCGAAGCAGAGCAGATGTGTCTGAGGACTAAATACAGAGGCAGATCACACTTCTTCAGGCGAACAGGAAGCAGCAGGAAAACGGAGGCTGTGACTGTCTCACTCTCACACATGCCACTGGCTTTTAGAACTAATTTTAGGGTGAGGTCCATAAACTTCTTAAAATCAAGACCCAAATTAAAACTTCTTGGTCTTTAATGTGGGCCCTCTGACCTGTGTTGGCCAATGTTATAAACATTCCTATTATACAGCAGAGCTGTCTTCAACTTAGACTCTTGGTGATGAAATAGGTCAGAAATAATTCTACAGTTGTTGTCATGACACTGTTTCATTAATGCAGTATAATTATGTTCATTTGTGGCTTAAGCAACATTTCATCCAAATCCAAACTGGTTGCCATTTCTGAGTCATTCTTCACATATTAAATCAGTGCGAGATCGGCCACTCAAAATGCTCCTATTATAAAATTACAATGGATATGATATGCATATTTAAGCTTTTTGTGTTGAGTATTTGTCAAAGAAATCATACCTGCACTGAGTACTTTTTCAAATTTTAAATTCAGGTGAGCATCATATTGCATGAGACTTGACCATTCTGCTAAATTTGATGGATTTACATTTACATGTACAACATATTTTAGAACATTAGTTAGTTGTTATAGCGCCACCATTAAGTGCATTGTATCCATACTTGGGCATTAAATGTTTGAACTGTTGTGCAAAATATGAGGTATTTTCTTGTTGATGGGAAGGCAATTTTAGTAAGAAAGCAGGAAGAAACAAGACTTAGAATCTAGAGTGTTACATTAGTATGAGGTAGGTCTTGGGCACAGTAGTGCTT